TACCTTTGCATTTTCTTGTTCAAAACGTCATTTTCACCAATTTTTAACATAAAATGACCATTCTACCCTCCTATATAAATAAAACAAAAAAGAAAAGAAAAGAAAAATAAAAAATAAATTGCAATTTGGTCCTATACTTTAAAAAAATGTAAATTAGTCCGAAAAACTAATTTAATTTCATCCAACAGCACAAATCTAATTCTCTCCCTCCATTATCTCTCTACAACCCGTCGCCTCCATCCAACCTCTCTCTTCACAAAATTTCTTGTGGGGACTTCTTTAGATCAACCACAAGTCTCTTGAGAGTTTCTTCAATGTTAGATTCAGTTGTTGCAGAACTCTCGTCAGTATAATCCCCTTTTTTCTTTTTATTTCGTCGGCGATGAGCAATTTGAACCTCCTCAGCCAAGTCTTTGATAGGAAAGACAACTTCTTTGGGTATTTGTTAAAATTCAGCGGAACAAATTTTGGTGCCCCAAAAACCAAAATTCAATGACTCATAACACTTCAGATTACAGAAATGGTTCTTAAATATGAACATCACAAAATAGCCAGTAGATCTATCAATGAACCGCACCAATAGACAAATAAATCAGGCAGTCGGCCTCAAATTTGTTGAGAACGAAATAGGGTCATTACCCAATATCAACCTAAAACAGACAATAAATACATCAATACTACTGTTTCCTTGAGACCCTTCCCACGCAAATCCTGAAGAATATCAAGAAATCGATCCAAAAGCAGGGCATCATACTCAACAAGCTTGTCAATCCGGAATAAATTATCTGAAGTCGCCGACGATGATGGCCGGTAGAGAGAGAATGGATGGAGGTTGGAGGGAGGTGATGGGTTGTAGAGAGAGAATGGAGGGAGAGAATTAGATTTTGTGCTGGGTGAAATTAAATTAGTTTTTTGGACTAATTTACATTTTTGAAAAAGGATAGGATCATATTGTAATTTATTTTTTATTTTTCTTTTCTTTTCTTTTTTATTTTATTTATATATGAGGGTATAATGGTCATTTTATGTTAAAAATTGGTGAAAAGGACGTTTTACGCAAGA